CGCGAAAACATTTTAATTTTAGCGCGCCGCAGGCCAAGGTAGACGCACATTTAGCTCAGCTTCACACGGTTTTAACGTGCGTCTACCTTGTAATTGCGCACGGTGTAGAGAGATACGGTGGGGACACTGGGGTACCTGGGGTGGGGAGGTCCCAGTTTTGGATCCATTATTAGTTACCCAGTACGCCGTCCGCCGCGCTGCTCGGCAACGCGTACCGATGCTTCTCTCTCGCACAGTCACTACCTGTCTCTCTCGCACGCACGGGCGGGCGCCGGCGCTACGCTACGCCACGCCCGGTACACGTTGCCGAGCAGCGCGGCGGACGGCGTACTAGGTAACTAATTATGGATCCAAAACTGGGACCTCCCCAGGTAGGCCCGGAGCGGCCCAGTGTCCCCACCGTATCTCTCTACACCGTGTAATTGCGTGACGGCGAAGGAAGTCTGTGTTTCACTTCTCAAAGACACGACCGCGACGCCGGGCTGCCGCGGCTGCCAGGAGGATGCCCAGCCCTGCCGCGGCCGCCGGCCGCCGCGCCGGGCCCGCCGCGGCTCACTGTCGAAAGTGAGGTTATGTTTCTAGAGTCGGTCGAATACGCACCTGGGTTGCGGATGACGAGGGCTGCGACTCGAAGATAATATCATCTTCCTTTTCGGCACTCTCCACGTTATCACTGTTAGTCCGAGGCCGCTTGCTGGACTTTGGTCTGTTTAACTCAAGGTCTACCTTGTGTATGCCCCGAAGGTGCTTGGCCAAACTTGACGTTGGGTTACAATACGTGAACACAGTACCGCAATTCTTGCACTTTGCTTTTTTAGCACTACCTTCAGTATATTTTGAGAAATATAACCACACTGGACTAGGAGCCATCGTGTCATTAGCAGATCAGAATCTTCGTACGTATCCTTGCTTGCGGCGAGCTGGCGTGCTGGTTTTGTTTACTTCTGTCGAGACGAGAGAAAGCGTTCCGACTGCGCATGCGCGCGCCCCAAGAGGGCGCTATGCGCCTGCGCCTGCGGCCGGCCCGGGCGAGGCGCGCGGCGCGCGCAGATTCAAAATAAGTCAATTTTTAAAGAATCGAAAATCGACGCCGAGAATCGATTCTTTCGATTCTCCTGATGCGCGGAATCGATTCCGATTCGAATCGAAAATCGACACGTGGAATCGATTTTCGATCGGAATCGAATCGACCAACCCTAATTTTGACGACATTTACAACTTTTCCTTTTTCCCTGGAATACTCAGCGGGTATAATTGAATTGCGCAATTTTTCTGTCATCAGTATTGACCCTACCATCCTTACTCCAACGTCACTCCGAGGTTTGAGCAGCCCGGTAACCTCTGAGTCATATTGGAACGCCACGCTTCTGTCTAGGCTTTTAGTAAAGCTCAGCTTTACAGGGGCATTATGTAATAACAGATTTTCTGGCTTAGTGATAAAAAAATATGGCCTGCCGGCCGGTAACGAGACAGTCCGGCTCCAAAAGCAAATTCAAAATATACAGGCGCTAAGGCTTGTATTTTTAAATTCAATAGGGCATCAAAATAAGATTGAAAATTTTCTTATCAAAACCGGAACTTTAATCGGCAATATCCGACAACGACAACCTTTATCAAAAAGGGATACTTTCACCTTACCCAGGAGCGCTTTTTCATGTTACGGAAAGCTGAGGTTAATATCAAAAACAACAAAAAACACCAAATTATGCAAGAGTTACCATTCAAATTTTGCTGGATTCGTAATTTCTGCGCGGGCGAAAACAAGCACATTTCATAGTTCAGAGCGCTGTGGTTCAACTTTAAAATTTGAGGCCAGGGATCACTTGTCAAGTGGACGGGCCATGTGGCGCCCTGAGCCGATTGAGCTTTAAGTGGGTAGGGGCTGGGGCCCTGCGCGGGGCGCGAGGCGCAACGCGGCTTGCTTCAAGAGGCTCGAGTGGGGGTCGGCTGGCCCCATGCCCATGCCCATGACCCGGCGCGAAGCAAGGGATGAGGGCCGCTGTGTTTATAACACAACTAGGGCGATGACAGCGGACTACTACCGGGGATGAACAGAAAGTCACGGAATGGAATGGAACGCACTGGAAAAACTAATGTTACCATGGTAACGTTTCATCATGTGACCAAGACCGGTAACGTTTCCTGATGCGACCTACCCCATGCAAAAGGATAGGGCCATCACAAACTGGTTGCATCACCAAACGTTACCTGGTGTGGTCGCATCAAGAAACGTTACCTCGGTAACGTTAGTTTTTCCAGTGACGGAGAAAACGCCCGCCCCCTCAGAGAATCTATATTATCACCGTTAGTCGGCTTATCATAACTGAAACGTTAATCGGCTATCATTATCAAAATCGTCAATCGGCTTATCATAACTGGAACGATAATCGGCTATCTTTATCAAAACTGGAAACTTTTACCTTCGGGTAGAGACAGACCACAAGGGACTGTCTAAAAAGCTTATGCCTTATTCGAACTTATTCAGAAATTACGAATTAGGAATTTTTGGATTCATGTTTTGAAAATACTTTATCGCATTTCTCATTATCCTTTAATATATGTTCCACATTAGTTTCAGAACAGAAGAAATGTTTTCTGCTGCTTCGCACTGTGTATTTCTAAATAAAATTTGTAAAATTAGTGTAATCCTTTTACATCGCGAAAGTTCCGGACGTAAACATTTTTAATTAACCGACTGTCACTAAGTGCCCCGTGCCGGGGCTCGAGCCAGGGGCCAGGCAGGCGCAGCCGAACCGAGCTGGCCGAGCTCCGGCCGATGTGTGATACGAGTCGAGCAGCGACGCCGGGCCGGGCCGAGCCGAGCCGGCGCAGCGTGCGGTGCAGCCAAGCCGAGTCCGTCGGAGGGGGGAAGGAGAAGGGAAGAGGGAAGGGGCCTGATGCTGCGTACGCTGCGTAGCTTTGGGCTTGTGGCGCGCGGGCGGGAGAGAGGGACCAACACCAAGCCGCCCTGTATTCTTCTGGTGACGTCACGCCTCGTGCAAAGTCCTTGTTTTAGTGTTCAGCTGAGTTACTAAGAACATTTGTTGTAAGTTACGACAGGCGGTGGACTGATTTTTATTTTATTTTAATCTAATCTTTTTCTTTTCAGGTAAGTGAAGAAAATTTATCCGTTTACCAAGATAACAATTGGTTGGATGAGCCAATAGGATTAGACGGTATGTGTGTTTGTTCATGGTCATCTAGCTCTATCATTGAATTTGTTTACACAGTTCAAATTTGTATTGTTTCAAAACATGGAATGATTGATTGGTCATTTTTTTTTA